TCTAAGTCTTGAAGAGGGAGCATAGTTCATGGGCTCTTAGACGCGGAGTAAAGATGCCTTGTTATCCTTCCTTTGTGCTCATGTTTAGAGCACCTTTCTTCAAGACTTAGCCTCTTGCCGAGTTAGCCCGGGAGGGGTGGAAGCTCGGTTGATTCGGGCGGTAGCCATTGCGGGATCTAACCCCTAAGCCAGAACAAAGTGAGTGACGGTTTTTGCTTCTACACCACCTCCACCTTACTAAATTATTAACATTGCATTATTATGTCGTTACAATATATTTTTAGATACTGCTTCCCTGAGTTTGTAAAGTAATAATGAGGGTAACTAGCATTTACAACCGTTGGTGAGGGTCATGGGTGCTTGCCAGCACGCCGAATTGCGATATGCACACACCGGAAAGTCTTGTCAACACCCTGTACGTAAGCCTTGCTATCACCTGTCAAGCACTCTGTAAACTCCTGTCAAACTTGTCAGAAATTACTGGTCAAAATGTGAAAGAAAATGGAGAAATGGCGCTTAAGTGATGCTAGTTCCATTTTGTTTGACGGGAGTTTACAAGTTACTTGACAGGAACTTACAGGGCTTACAGGGTAATATACGAATGTAATAGGACAAAAGAAAAAAAAGAAGACAAAAGGACACACTAAAAAGCTTAGACCTGTGCCCCCCCCCCCCGTTCCCCCAAGTTTCTTAGCGCTAGTAATTAAATCAAAACGGTCGCGATAAAGAGGTAAAGAGATTGAGATAAAGATATCGGTGATTTTCTATTCCAGGTTCTGTTTTCGCTACTGTAGCACAATTTCGTGTGGGCAACACTGTGCAACAGATTCTATTGCGAACCAGTTGGTGGTCGATTTACGATTGCTATGTCATGAGTATTTGCCAACAGAACGTTATCATCGTGTCACAGTGATCTCATAACATTGTAATGTCTGTAGCGTTGACTCTGTTGGAATGACGCAGGCAGGAGACGCAAACGTTGCTTGCCCTGAAGTGACAATTGCCCCTGTTGACCAGTATTAGATGTTCTGTGATGCCTTTTTACCGTAATGGTTTACGTCGTAAGTCCGTAGCAGAACATGAAGTGGTGGTCAACAACAACATTTGTCACCTCAAGGCAACTTGCCCTCATCATGTCGTCGGTTCATTTCGGACGAGCATCACCGCGAGGCAACATCATAGTCCGTAGCGTTGGCGATCCCCAGTGGGGAAGGTTGTACTTGGTTGCTAGAGTTAGCGCGGACATCGTATTTTTCTTTAGGTAAAGTTTTCCTCAGCTTCTCCTATTTTAAGGGCGCAATATACGTTGCCCCCCGTCCATCGCCATCCCTCCCACTCCACGGCTGTTTTTTTAGAGAGAAAATGGAAGGTTTTCAGAAAGAAAAATCCGGAAAAGCGGCAAGAAGTTTGGAGAATGAGGAGATTAGGTAAACGGGAACAGGTCGTACTAGTTGAGGAACGTGAGAGGGTGTGTATTTGCGCAAATTTCCTGCTACAGGAGGACGTGCCCTGATCGTGATGTGGGAGAAGGCGTGTCAGCGTAAGTCCCACCTAATCAGATCTCGAGTGCAACATCCTGTCGGGAGAGGGGGAACAATTGGAAACGTGGTTGTAAAGCAGATACGTATGTTGCCAACCCTAGAGAAGGGGGAGTTACGGGAAAAATCCAGTGCTCTCAGAAATTTCTCCCAAGGCCAAAATACAAGCTTTCCCCTCTGCCTGTGACTAAAATACGCTCCTTTTTGAATGTTTCCTCACGTAGCAATAAAGTCCGAAGCGCGCCGGAAAGAAGGATTGGGACAACCCTTGCTAGCTGGCAAGCTCCGGTTTTCGTAACACTTGGCGCCGAAAGTAGGCGATAAGAACGAATCGTGAGGCGAAATAGATAGTTTTTAGAACTGAAAACGAAAGCAATGCGGTGGTTTATTTTCTAGGAGTAAACCTACTATGTCAACAACCATCGTGAACATTCGCCGCCCGCCCCCTCCCCTCCTCCCCAGCCATGGAACTCATAGCAAAAAGCTGAAAATTTTCTCGCAGCATAGAATTTTTCCTCCTCTGGAGTAGCTAACTGACGCAGCCTCGCTCTGATGTAAGCTACCAGAACGTCCAAATCGAGAGTTGACGAAAGATATGCATGAAAAAGACGTGCTATGCATTTCAAGTGCGCCTGACTGACTTCGACCTGAAGAAGCGTCAAGGAAGCGAAGATCTCATCTGCTACCGATTCATTTGCTTGTTTGCTTATTGTTTTCATTATTGTCATTCTTGTCATCTTTAACGAAATCGCTTTTGTTCTTGTCGTATTTCATGGCTTTTCCTCGCTGGAAGTTCCTTTCCCCTTTTTGGCACGAACTGTTCGTATACAATCACATCTTACAGGCAATGGATCTACGAGCGGTTGCTGTTGTACTGCTGTGCTCTTTGATGCCCCTCATAATGGGACAGGTGGGTTATCGTTTTATCCCTTAGTCCGAAAATTGGAGACAAACTTAGAACAGTCACTGCGGTCTTGAGTCGGAAAGATAAATGCCATCTGGAAACAAAGTCTTGTACTTCTAAGTATAGGAATGGCTCATTTTCTATTCATAACAATTCCCCAGGTATTGTCGCAGCTGCAAAGTACAAGAGCTTGCCAACTATTTTGTTTGATGAAATGTCCAAGAAATAAAGTCACGGGACTGCACGCCAAGATGTATGGGAAACCGGATGGGAAAACGTCAAGACAATCGGCAATCTGCTGCGCAGTAGCGCCGCGACGCATCGAAATGGGCAAGGGGGCTGGCAGTATGAGTACCAATCTACTCGTAGCCCCTTATTTTCGCGAAGCTCAGGAGCTCTACTAGAGAGAAACGGTTGACATTAGCACTATATATATCGGCCACAAACTATCCAGCTGCCGCATGGGAGATGCGACATCGCTGACCAGTTGCGGATCTTCATGACACCACCAAAGCTAATGATTTGGCCTTGTCGCAGTCGCATTCCTGTTCATCAGGCAAAGGGACAAAAGTGGACGAGTCTTTGGAACTGTGTATACACGCTGCTACACATGTGATAGTACGATGACAGGTGGTCAAACTCTCAACGGGGTCGTATTTGGTTGCTGGAAAAAAGGGACTCCTGTATTTGTCCCCGGAGATTCTTCCCAGTTGCCTGAATCTTTAATAGTTTCCAGGCGTGCTACAGCCCGCTTAGTCGTTATCACTAATTTCAATTGGAGTGTGCCGTGGGGGGGGGGTTACTGCGCGATGTCAGCCCTTTCTTCAGTTGCCGTTACAACTTTAGGAGCTCTGAAAAAGGGGTACTTCACTAGACTCACGTCCAAAATGAAGACAATCTGACCGAGCGGGATCGCATCGCGCCCCAATCGCCATTTGACGTTTTCTAACAAGCCGCTGCATTATTACCCTCACTGCCCCAACCATCTAGAATTGAGCCGGTCTCTGACCAACTTCTTTCTCCGTGGACAGATTAGGTCGAATGTTGTCTCCTGGAGTCTTTTGACCTCCTGAATACGAATCCATACATTCGTTACCATTCGCTACCATTCGTTGTAACAAACCTTTCCCCTTAGCGCCGCGGCCAAAGGCGCCGATGATCTGGGGAAATTTTGGCGGCCCAGCACCTGTAAACGGAGCTTTCAGGCCGAGCGGTTGCGATATTCGTGTTCAGGAGGTCAAAATACGCCTGAGAACAAGTTTTCAGCGAATTTGGTATTTAAGGTATTTCGGCGCCGGCGCCTGTGGCGCGGGCGCCAGGAGTTTCGTAGCCAGCTGGATGTTGATATTCATGTTACGAGGTCCAAGCTACCCCAGAGAACAATTTCCAGCAACAATTCTGCCAAGGCGAGATAAAAGTCTATCAAAAAACTGGCCTGTTTTCGGAAGATTGGGGCAGTAAAGGGTAAATAGTGCCAAAACACTCTGCGATTTTCATGCGAAGCTGGCCTCCTCCGCAAGCGAGTCCGCACTTTCGCGACTGGCGAAGGCACCCATACCGTGGATGCACTCATTGGCCCCATTCACCGCTCTATCCAGACTCGGTAAGTGAATACCTGCCAAAGAATCTAGGCAGCGACAGATTGCTGTTAATGAGAAACAGATGGATCTTTACGGCCACCATACAGTCCTCAATTGGCGGCCGGTGTGGGCGTGTCAGCCAGGAGTGGGGGGGGGGGAGCAGAACGCTTGTTGAAGGCCGTTTCTCAGCCTTTTTGTTGCAACGCGTATGCGACAAAAAGTGGTAGAAAACGAGTAATACGAAGGATATTATACAGTAATGCACTTGTTCGCTTCAAAAACTGGTGCAGAACGACTTTGCCAAACCGCACCAAATGCAGCCGCACTGCCACGCCCCACCGGTCCGCAATGATGAGGACTGTACCTATCACAGCAACACTGCTTGGTGATATTATTCGATCATACCCTCTGCTCACCCTCTGCTCGTACACATGCGTTTGCTAGAGGGACGCTTATTGAAGACATTAACGCACATTTTTTTCTGGTTTCTCTGTAACACCATTGAACCTTCTAGACATTTTGGCATCCGTATTGATAAGCGGCACCATATTAGAGCTCCGGCTTAGTCCCGTCAACAGTCCCACCTCCACACGCCCTTGTTGACTCATTCCCTCAACTCTTCTGGGGCACATCGCATGAGCATAGCGTGAAAGATGGCATTTAAATATAGTGCTGATTACTGCATTTGCAGTTAGTGATGCAATTATCGTAGGAAAAGACGAATGAATTTATTTATGACGAGAGCGAGAAGTAGCAGCTGCAGCTAGAGATAGCAATAAATCTGACACGTGTAAAATGTTGGGGCTCGGACGAGCTCTTTGCAATCCACAACAAATCAGTTCCGTTTTGCCTTTTTCAGCGTAGTTTCATCCCATGAACTTCCCTTTCCATTACCAATTTAAACGGGAAGGGTCACCTCTGAGCCATCAAGCCGTTTGCTAATTTGATTGAGCTTCCGTGAGCTGCCCTGGGAGTCTCATGCCCGGAGCTACGGAGGTCGGTCCGCTCAAGAATTTGCATGAGCAGTCACCATTTTATGTTTAAAAACACTGAGGCGGCGTAGCTGCGCGGGTTAGAACGGCAGGAGGCAAGCTCTATTGGCTCATACCCTAATATTCAGCCAATTGTCTGCGGTAAAGAGGCGGAGTGGTGGTGCTGTAGGTTTTATTGAGAGTCACCCACAAAAGTGTCAAAAATAATGCAAAAACAAAAAAAAAAACTCAGAAAATTCAACATCATTTACAAATGACTATCTTGGTAGCTGATTTAAACGAGTCCAAACATTCAATCGGTTCCTATTCCAGGACAATACGGATGCAACGTATCCCGGACGCCTCTTTCAAACTCCCTATGGCATGGGATGGAGAGCGATACTGCCGATGTACAACACAGAAAAGGTTCCTAGTAAAGAGGTACTTAAAAATACTGACAAAACCTTGGAAAACGGAATGCGCTACCTGCAGCCTTTCGCAGATGTAGATTCAGGCGGTGCACTTGCGCAACGCTTTACATAAACCCTAAGGAATACTTTAAAGGACAATTACACACAACATCAAGAAAAATGAGAGCAGTTTCTCCGTCTAACTTGAAAAAAAATTGAAATCAAGTTTAGATAAGTTTTTCTCATCCATCCGCTCAATATCTGGAAGCACCTCCCTATCCCTTCCTCCGCACAGGCATAGGCTTCGCGTGATACTATTTCTCTGTGCTCAACTATTCATCGGCAACTCTAGTCGCCTGTGCTCTAGGCCCAAGCTTTCTTTAGCGAAGGGATATGGAGGAGGTGGCGAGTGTTCCCCCAGAGACCTCTGTTCCTCCAAAAAATGTGAATCTTATTGCAAAGACCGAAATACCAAATACTTTATCATCAGTGAATGAGTCGACGATAAACGTAATGGTGATCCGTTCAGAAATGGGCAGCTGATGAAATCGCGATTCCCTCTAGTCACGCTCAGTTGTTAGGGGATGAATACTTAACACGATTCGAGGTACCTATTTTTATGCACACATATTAGCCGCACCGTGATGTGTCTGTCTCACTGTCAGTCTGTTTGTTATGATGTCATTTTTTAATTCGAAAAATATTTCCTATGGAAGAGTAGAAGCAATTTTCCCTAGCCAGAAGTGAAGAAACTTGCTCGTTATTCTGTTTGCCACTCGTGTTACAACGATAAGGATTATGGTAAGTACGGTGGCATCATCTTACAACACCGTCGGTGCGCTTGCAACTCTGCCCGCGCTATCCTCGAGGTGCAGCACCCGGCCGGTACCAAAATCCTGCAGCAAACAGGCAGTTACTGGTAGGGAACAACCAGACGTGAGAGGGCGCAGACAAGTGCGCGTATTTTGCTGAGGTCAGGCGTGTCCGCTGCAGATTATAAGATATATTAGATTTCAGGGCTGTCGTACTAGGTAAGGTCAAATTGCCTTGATTCAGATTTTTCTCAGCCGTAAGAAAAGATTTCCCCTGTTTTATGACTTTTCTCGGTTTCTCATTCACCATGCCCTTCCCCCCCCCCTCCCCTCTTCCGCCCTAATCGCCATAACAACAGCACGACAACCACTTCTGACATTTCACTGACGCACACTCAACCCGCTTTCCCCATCAACCACTTCTGACATTTGACTGGCAACGACCACACCCCTTTCTCACATCTAGGGAGGGGCAAACTCCATTCTTGAAAAAAAAGAACGATGATGGGTAAGATAAGGAAGTGGGGGGGGGTACCAGATGGGGAAGCTTCGGAGTGGGACTGACGCCATTTGGCGCATGGTATGGCTTACACTGATCGCTGGCCGTGCAAAGCTGGGTCCTGAAACGGCTCACGGATACAACTAGCTCTCAAGGCTGTGTGAACGCATGAGGGGCCAAAGGACAATAAGTTGAGGCCGAGTGTTTCACATTTCATTCCAATTTAACATTCGGCATAAATGGTATATACAGCCTAAACAAATAAGAAAGCGCGGAAGCTTTTCTATATTCTCACTAGAAAATTTTTTAGCATATTCCCGTTGCGCATTTCTACCGCGATGAAATGGGGCGCGGAAAAGCTGAAGGTAGTGCGTTTTCGGGCACAGAATCGCTTCATTTTGTGTTCAAGTGCCAGAAATATTACCGCTTGTGTAGCACAGCTATCTGGGTAGACTCACGAAATGTTGAAATATAAGCTTAGGCTGGGGTAGTTATTGCTCAATCTCAGCTTGGTCCAGCATGGAATTACAGTACCCTATTGGGCTAAAGACTAAATGGCATCTCATTGTCGTGACACATTCTGGCAAAGTCATCCTTATTGCAGAGGTCAATGTCGGAAAAGATGAAGAGCTTGAAAGGTCGATACAATAGCCAAATTCGTGACATTCTTTTCGGGAAGTGAATGCACAAAGAACAATTATGAACAAGAAGGAGTGTATGTGATTGGATTATTTCTTTTCTTAAACTGTTCAGTGATTTTCATCCGTTATTTTGTTGTAGTATGGTGTTCAGCAATGTTGTCATTTCTGTGGAATAAACATTTGCTCTGTGGTCTCGTAGGTTCCAGATTACAGAACACTCACACTCAATAAATATCCCGGGGATGCAGAGGGCGTGGTTGCGCACCTCAGCGACTGCGCTTTCAGCGGGATATTGCCGTTTCGAGACAACTGTAACCATGCCTTTGTCCAGCACAGGAAAAGATGACATTTCAAGGAAAAAAAAACAGAAAACATCCCAGAAAAAATGCATCCTACGCCGTGTTCAAATGAACTACGTGGCGACGCCCTATCTGCCTTTCGAAATGCGGAGTGTATGTGCGTTATGCTGGATAGATGGCAATGCAGTGTTCCACTAATGTCGCGCTATTTCCAGTAAGTCAAGACAGGAGTCATGTGGGGGGGGAGGGAACGTTACTCCATCCGAGACAGAGTAAGCAAGACAGGCTCCTGCTAGCAGAGACGAACCGTACGCCAGCCGTTTCTCTCTACCCGTTCTGCTCCTCTTAAACTAGGGAATACTCCACGTCTCTGCAGCGACGAAGTTTCCCCACTCAGAGTACAGCTTCGTTGAGAGGTCGCCTTTCCTGTTCGGAAAAATCGTAGGAAGTTTCCGATCGTTTCTTCTTATTCCTATATTTATCGTTGACTTTTTCCGATTTTCTCGTCTGGAATGAGAAGCCATAGCGCCTCATACGCCCCCATCCCCCGCTCTCCTTAGGTTGCTGGCGCGGCCAAAAAACAACCACACAACTTACTATATTCTGACTCTTTCTGCATTGGTTCGACTGGCTAGTTTGATTATGCCTTCAGCCCTTACGCTTGAAAAACCCCTTCCAAAAAAATGAAAATAAATGGGGTTCTTAAGAAAAAGCTTGGAAACCTTTTCAAAAAAAGGGAAAAGAATTGGGAAAACTCACTATCAGGAAGGCGGTAGGTGTGATAGGATTGTCGTACCAGATGGGGAAATTTTGACGGGGTCGTACTGGCACTGCCACTACAGCTTAAGCTCTCGCTCTGATAGGGAGACAGACAGACAGACAGACAGACAGACAGACAGACTGACTGACAGACAGAAAGGGTGAATGAGTGACTAACTGAGTGAAAGACAGGCATACAGACAAACTGACTGACTGAGAGATAGACAGCTAGACAGACAGTCAGACAGATAGACAGGAAACCAAACGAAAAGGCAGAAGCATAGAAAAAAATCGTTGTTGGTGGATTGTAGCTACCAAGGTATTTAACTTTTGTTGTGAAATAATATCAATCGATTGAAAGTTTGCTACAATAACATCATTTTTCACACTCAATATTTTCTACGTTTATCGATTAAAGTATGATTAACGGGTTAATCATTGATCAGTATAAGGAATAGTATTGCACTGAATTTGCATAATAAAAATTGCAAAAAAAGTTCCAAGCTGATTTCAGCTATTTCTTCACGATTTTTTCGGCTTTTTCGGACTCGATTTGGCCGCGGTCTGAAACAGCAGCATCGAGCAACTTCCTATGGATTAAGTGTATGGTCTAGACATTGATGACGTATACTGCGTTGGGTAACCAAATGAAAGAAAAATATGAAAAAAATGAAAAAAACAATATTTAAAAGCAGCTGAGTTTTCCGAGGGCAGTTCGGCGACAGGGAGGGGTCACTTTGCATTTTCTCTGCTCCACTAGTTCGGGTTTACAAGTCTCACTCAGGTGAAACCTGCGAAGCTAAAGCAAGCTCGTCAAACCACCATGGCAGAGCCTGTCAACTCTTGTAAGCTCATGAAATAGCTCTTTAGATGGTCCATACGTCGAAGAGAAGTAGCAAAAGTGCAGAATGCCCCCCCCCCGTGTCCGAACTGCGCCGCATTCCGGAAATTATGGGCCAACCTGACATTCCCTACGGCTTTTCAAAGAATAAAGTTGGTCACCTGCGATTGCATCGCCTTCCATTCTTGCTCTCTTCTCTTCGCTGTTTCCCAAACAGGTCCATAGTGGGCTTTATAGAACTGAATGAGATGAGCTGATAATAAAACTTATCATTAACAAACT